CACACACACACACACACACACACACACACACACACACAAACTCCATAACCTGTGGGGTCTGATTCTCTGATATCAACTGACCAAAAAATCTGACCTATTTAACGAGGCAAAAATACACGACATTATACCATTTAACCAAGTGTGAATGAAAAATGCAAACCTTTAAATTGCATTTCATGTGTGTTTTAAAATGTATCTAAATCTAAACATGACAGATATGGTATGCATGTGATATGTTGATTATCTGATTATCATGTAAAAAACATCTTTCACCCGTTGACATATCTTTAAATTTTAAATATGAGTACAAAATATTTAAACATGAACGTGTAGTAGTTAAAATAAGGATGTAATTCAGCAGTTTTATCACAATATATAGATTTTTTTAAATGACAATACAGTGTTTCTCGATATCTCAAAGTCTGTCAAGGTTTCGAATGAATTCAATTTAATTCACAAGTCTTTGATTGATATATCGATCCACATCGAGCACATGATGACGATGTGATCAGCGTTTTCTTTTTTGATGTAATTGAATCATTATTCAATCGATATATCAATGTGGATCGATGTATTGTTACACTAAAGGCCATTAAAACAATTAAAAGTTGTAATTTTTAGTATTCGCTATAATCATCTCATCTCTCATCTCCGCCTGTGGCTCCATTTGCCAAACTCCTCAAATTAGACCAGATATAATCACTTCACGCTTTAAAAATTATGGACAAGATAAAAACCCTAGATTTAAATGTTTGTAGAATAATGAGCTTTGATTGATTTTTGAATTCTTATGGGCAAATCCAATACACATTAGATAATAGCAGACATTTCTACATCTCACAAAAGCTAAATATCATTTTTAATACATATTTGGTATTTGACGTGTTCATGTCTAAATAATTCAATACACAGTTAAGATGCAGTCATCAAGCTTTTAAAATCTTTATAGCTTTCATTCCAGCCTTTCTAAAACAAATAATAAATAGATAAATAAACAGAAACAAATAAATGAATCAAAAGAAAAAGAACAAAAACAATCTGTAGCCAGTTGGGTCATGTTCCTTTATCCTCAGATATTTTTGTTTTGATGGAGGAAGGCCCCGCCCACTACAACCACATGGTCTGGGCTCCACAATAGTTGGTTGAAGTCGTAGAAAGTGTGGAGGGGGGGTGAGTGGGTCTGGAACAGTTCAGACAAATAAAGACAGCTGCCTGTACCTTTGGGTTTTCTTCTGCTGGCTGCGCGGAGCTGTAACCCCACGTGTAAACTGCTTTAATTTAAAACCTCTCGGCTTCTGTAACTCAGATCTGAACAGGATTTTCTCTGCTAGTCTTCTGTCTGTCTTAGCCGGCTAACACAGCGTGTCTAAAATGAACGGCCACCTGAACGGTTTTCATCACAACGTGTTCCACGAAGAAGACTGCTTCCTCTTCACTTCCGAGTCAGTCGGCGAAGGTCACCCTGGTGAGTTTTAATATCTTAACTGCGAAGTATCGTTCAGTATTGACCTAATTAGCCTAGCATCCGGTTAGCTGCTCAAACCAGGTCACGTGATTTATCGCTACAGCTGCCAGCTACATCCGCTAACTTTTAAAACCAACATGAAATTATTTTACAGTACATTTTTATTTGTCATATTGTAAACAAATAAAAACACAAGATCGGCTACCTATAACAAAGAAAAAAGGGCAGACATGCTTTAAAAAGCAAACAAGCGCGTGGCTTCAAATTTCTGGTGTTGTACTGAAAATAGCACCCCGTTGTAAAACACGTTATAAATCTCAAATCACTTGTTTTACAGTAAACAGACTGTGAATTAAAAGTGACAAGCTTTTTTTTGGTACCATTAAAGACTTTTGTATATTATAAAAGTTTCAGCGCCTCAAAAACGGGCTTCCTGCTGGGTGCGGGCTGCATTTTTCGGCACAACACCTGCTAAATGCTAACAAATAGCTTGCCCTCTACTTATTCCGTCACAGCGTGCATTTGTCCAAAACAAATTACGTTATGAGTCACGGAAACCTGTTGATTAATGTGTGTGCGGTAACAAAAACACGGCGAGGTGCTAAAAACTTTTGAGGACAGTTTGTACCATGTAACCATTACCATTAGTTGTGTAAACAAGAATGTATTTTTAACTTCCGGTAATTTTTAAGATCACTATTAATATACATTAATATACTTTCCGACTTATCTGGAGGATGTGACGAAGACTAAAGTTGCTGCTTCATGCTATTGTCAATTTTATGTTATTTTTATTTTAATAATGTTTCAGCAGTATATATACTGTTGTAACATTATTAAAATAAAGTCACACTGTAGAGGGACTGTAGGCCTATTAATAAGGAGAGCCACCTTATTCTAAATTTTAAAAAATGTGTTTACAATTGAGCTCTTACTCGGTATCAGTATTTAGATAAGAGATAAGATTCGATAAATTATTGTCATTGTTGCAATGAGTAGAACACTGCGATCCACAGACGACGAACAGCGAAATAATTTAGCAGCTCCCATAAAATCAGAACATTAAAAAAGATCAAATAAAGAGATAAAAATACGATAAAAAAAGGTAAAAACGTATTAAACAACAGTAGCAGCCATATCAAAGTTTCAAGTAGCAGCAGCAGTACGTAGTAGGGTTGGGCGATATTGGCAAAAAAAATTAATCACGATTAATTGTGGTGTTTAGCCGATAACGATTAATATGACAATTAATCCCCTGGTGTCCCTGGACACCCTTATGTCCAAGTCACACAATCAATTTAGTGGGAAAGATTTGCTCTTCGTAAAAATCTTTTTCAAACTGTGTCAAAACCACAGACTTCAGGCTTTACTTCAAATTTTAAATTGTGTTGATAAATAAATTACAGAACTTTTGTTCAAATGTTAATCATATTTGAAGCGGAGAGGAGCACCGAGCGGACTGACCGGGGAAATATCCAGTCAGTCTGCCTGGTGGCATTAATCATACTAATCGTCAAGTGCTAAAAACTAATGTTTTTCTGACAGCTAATTGCAGACAATACGATTATGCCCAACCCTAGTACGTAGAACAGATGAAGTCTGGGGTAAAGCATGTAAAACAATCACAAATCCTATTTTCATTTTACAGAAAAGAGTCATACGAATTATCACTAGAAAATATTACAATCACCCATTGAATATATTATTTTGTAAATTAAAACTATTAGAATTTTATGAGTTGGTTATTATAATATCTTGCAGATTATGTATAAGGCTCATATTTTTTCCCCTTTAACCATCCAGTTATATTTTGTTAAGAGAGAAAGTTCTTATAATCTTAAAGGACTTGAGATGTTTATCAAACCTAAAATTCGAACAAACTTGATGGACCGATGTACATCCGTTCAAGGAATAAGTAATAAATAATCTGGAGGGTGATTATAAAAATGCCGGTTCAATGTATTTCCTTAAGAGAATGATAAAAATAAGTTTGTTAAAGAAATATGAAACTGTATAATGAATATCAAAAGTTGTTGTTTGAGAAGGAATTGAAGCTCTTATTTTGTTTTGTTTCTTGATTATTATTGCTTGAAATTAATTATGGTAAAAAGGGCAGATATAAGACTTTTTTTTCTTTTTTCTGCCTCCTTTTATTTCAGTTGGGATTTGTATATTTGTATTGTGTATAAAGATTTTTGTTTTTAAATGAAATGGATAAACTAAACTAAACAGTAGCAGCCATATCAAAGTGTCAGGTGGACATTATTGCACATAACCGTAGTGTTACCATGTGTGTTTAGAAGTCTGCTGTTGGATAGAAACTGTTCTTGAGTCTGTTCGTTCTGGTCCTTCTGGTCCTAACAGTCCTGAGCCTTCCTCTACCTGATGGTAGTTGGACGAACAAACTGTGCCCGGGCTGTGATGAGTCTCTGTCTGGAGGCAACGGGTCCTGTGCAATTCCTCCAGAGAGGGCAGAGGGCACCCAACAATGTCCTGAGCCACTTCTCTGGAGTGCTTTCTTCATCATTCAAAAGCACAACGTGAATATTGTAGTAGAGGCTGTCGTTTTATTTTTATATCTGTTTTTAAATCACAAATCCTTCAAATAAAGGGGTTTATCTGTCAGTTTATTAAATATGAACATGCATTTAGTATTTGTTTATAAATGCTTCCTTTGGAGAAAAGTTATTAAAACAATTATGTACAAATCTGATTTATTTATTTATATATTACATATCTGAAAAAGCTTTACATTCAGTCAAATATAAATTGTGTTTTAGAGATTATTATTTTCTCTTATATTAATTGTTTTAATTTCTGTGTTATTCTAATATTTTAGTGGTCAGAGTGTACGCTTATTTGTCCATTTACCCTCTGTTAAACTTCACATTTCACAATATATTTTCTTTTGCTTGTTTAGTAAAAAAAATGTGTCTAATGCTGCCTTACAGATAAAATTTGTGACCAAATCAGTGATGCCGTGCTGGATGCTCACCTTAAACAAGACCCTGACGCCAAAGTAGCATGTGGCAAGTATTTGGACAAAGAAACAGATGATAAAGCTGTTAAACAAAGGGCTGCATTGTTTAAACACCATTCTAATTGGAACTGGTAGACGAATAAAAACAAACTTTGCACTGTGCCTCCTATTTCAGCAGAGAGAGGGTTTTTTTCTGATGTTTCAAAGTTTTATTACTCAGGAATAAAGTTTTGTTTCAAATAATGCAATCATTGTTCCTATACTCAATCAAAGCTAAAAGCCCCCTTTGTGTGGTTTTGTTTTCTGGTTCCATGAAATTAAATTGCTTTATTCCTGAAAATGTCAGAGATGCAGATGATGAAAGCCCTAAAAGCTTTTATGTTTTAGAAAGCTTGTCCTCAATGAACCAGAAATTACATATTGTTTACAATTGGTCTGTGTTTTTTATCTTTCTCTCTCTCTTTCCTGCTATCTCAGACTGATAATGTTATTTTCTATCATTGTTACAAGTTTATATGGTTCTATGCTGGAAACAACTAAGCTTAATACTACTGGTTCTAATTTGAATTCACATGTTGCCACTAATAAACTCAAATTTAAGAAGATTTGTTAATTTAACATTATTACTTAGCCTCATCACTTAGGCCTGTTGTTATTTTGTCTTCAGAGACTGTTGCTAAGACGGGGATGATCCTGCTTGCGGGGGAGATCACCTCCAGAGCCAGTGTTGACTATCAGAAAGTTGTCCGGGATACGATCAGGGACATCGGCTATGACGACTCCAGTAAAGGTACGGCGGTAAGAGCAGAGAGCTGAGAGTTGAGTTACACCCTGCACTCACTTGTGTGTGTGCGCATATTATGTCAGAACCTGTATCGCTAACGGTATCAGTATTTTCACGTTGTGTTGTGTGGCTTGGTGATAAAATGAGGGGTATCTGATTTCTGAGAGAGGATATAGATTTCTTCATTGATTTGTGCTCACCAACGAAACAGAGCAATCCTGGCTTCAGTTCTCCCTCTGCAGCTGAACTGTGAAGCAAACTGATCAGAAACGAAGCAGTCAGGGGACGTTTGTTCACCACAGCTGAAAACAAAACATGCATTTTAATATAAAACCTCTCTTAGGCTACATTTACACAGCAGGCAAATGCAACCCAAATCTGATTTTTTTTTTTAAATTATGATTTTTTTGCCTCTATGAAATCCATATCAGATTTTTTTCCTTACAGTCTGAATGTGACAAATCCAATTTGTTTGATGGAATATAAGCCAGGCCTTTTCAGTATGTGGTACTAAAGGGAATACATATCTGGGGTCTCATTTATAAAGGATTACGTGGAAACCATACTAAAAGTGAACGTACGGCCAAAAGGCGGAAATGGCGTACGC